ACTGTTCTTTCTGTAATTCTTCTTTGCCCTTTGCAGTGAATACAATGGCATAAATAATCTCAAGTGGAATTTCATTGTTCGGCCACTTCTTTGCATACTTAATCAAATATGGAAGACAGTTCTGTTCTACGAGTTGCTCTCGGATAATGTTATTATCAATCATGCCTAGATAGAAAACATAAAAAAAAGTTATTATCACAATCCTTCTGACGTGAGATTAATATGTGAAACAAGATGTAGATTTTGTTGATAATTATAGGTAATATATTTATGCTATCTATTTTGGAATATATCTTTTCACAATCCTTTCACTTAACCCTCCGAATGCAAGTAATAGAATAAACTGAAAAAACTAACTTTTCAATCCATAGAGCAATTCTTCTGCTGATGCATTGTATTCATTATTGTCAATACTTTCATTTTCGACTGCTTCAATAAACTTCTTCATGAAGAGTCCAACAACCTAATAAACAAAAGACAGCATCGTGACTATGATTTCTTTATAGAAAATAAAAATAAAAATTTGTACCTTATTTATATCAACTATTCTCGAAAATTGTTCTTCCGATACAATCAGTGCAATAAGTTCAAATAGTTGAAGTTGATCATTTTCATCTTCTTGATCGTTACTCAGCTTTAGTAGACTGTCAAGAAGTTTTGTAAAGGATTCTTTATTTTCATGTATACCATTAAATAACTGTGGAGCTGAACGACCAATTTCGAGTAGAATCTTAAGACTTGAATCAACAAGTTTTTTCCAAATGAAATTACTTTCATTGGAATTTGACTTCAAATTGATCCAACCACATTCAAGAATTTTCATGGCAATATCTTTGAAAGATTGTTTTTCATTGAATTCAAGTGAACGCATAGCAAAAGCCATCAGTCGCAAGGGAGAAACCAAACAAGGCGAATAATTATCTACCAAATCGCTGATATCTCCATATGGACAACCAAAGACTTTAGCATATTGCGTATGCATTTGATCAAATATGGAGTGAGCATACTTTCCATTTTCTTCATCGCAATTGAGTACATAATCAGGACATGTGACAAGTAGAAAATGTTCTGTGTTATTCAATGGAAGACCACGTATACCAGAAAGAGCATCTTCGGCAAATCTTGATTTGGCACAATGTAAGACTGGTTCAAGAAGTGCTCTACATCTAAATTAAATAGTGTAATGAACAAAGAAAAAAAAAACAAATATTCAATTTTAGCTCACTTTATCTTTCCATAAGCTTGTATTAGGCAATCAAATGAGGCTAGATTAAAGTCTTCTTCTTGGTTCGATTTCTTAATATAGTAACCATATGATACAATATTATTCAAACATATTTTGATTGTATCAAGCAAAGCTGTATTATTCTCAAGTTGATTATTCTTGGAGTCTGATATTTGCAATATTAAACTGCTTGCATGATGTAATGTTGCTGAATCATTTTCATTCAATATTGTTTGATTATTATCGCTCCATTGTTCTAGAATCTGATCGACTCGAGGAAAAAATTTAAAAGCAAAAAAACCATGGGTAAGATGATTCGATATTAAATGGAAAGAAAATTGACTCAACTTCGAAATAATTTCATCTACAGACAATTGGTCGTAGAGACCAGAATTGAGTAAAACATCAATTTGTTTGTCACTCAAAGAGACGACCATGCTTGTATACATATTAATGACTATTTATGAGTATTTTTTACTATTTATCATTGTTGCTTCTTGATACGCTTCATTAGTCTATTTTTGTTCTGAATCTATGCATGATTTATATTATACTTTGATAGTTGATTACAATTGATACACAAATCACAAGCAAGTAATGATGCATCATTAGAATAAATCAAGAGAGGTTTTACTACTTTATGAGTCATTTTCCATATCAAAATTGACTAAACTTACATGGAATCATGCATATAATGGAATTACAATTTTCGAGAATGATAAAGCAATATGAATCCCTTTGCCTTTAGATACAAACAGGGATGGATTACATTGAGAGAAAGAATACAATCACCATGATTTAAACACATTTTTTTTTATCACTGCACAGTAGGCAATGATGTTACTGTTTTTTTTTAAATATTGTCTACAAAAAAAAACCGCCTACGACATAACGAGCTGAGTTAAGTAGCAATTAGCGATTTGAATGGTAAAACCGTGACACTGAATTTCTCGTTAATATATTCGCAAGAAAAAATATTTATTTAGATCCTACTCTTTTTTTTTCTAGGGTTCATTAATGTTCACTCTGTCGCAGTTTCACACCATAATTGACTGACATATTCAAGAAGTTCTAGAGCGAAGTTCATGACAAATTAGATATTGTCTTTGTTTCGTATGATGAAGATCAAGATTCATTTGATGAATATTTCAAAGGAATATCATGAAAAGCAATAAGTTTTACGAAAAGAAATCTTCTGAAAATTACGATATAATTTTCTGCAAAATCATGTGACAGTGCAGTTAGCCAAATACTTTGTTGCCAAAGCACCTTATGAAAATCTCAGAACAAGTACTTGCCTACTTTCTAGACAAAACAACTCCAAAAATATACAGCACAGTTTATTTTCCAAGTCAATGTTGGAATTACATCAGTAAAAAAAATCAAAGATTTTACTCTGTCATAGTGACAAGTTTTCTCTGCATATGTTAAGTGATGAATAAAAATATACACTACTTTTTAGATTCATAAATAAGTTTCAAGAAAAAACAAACATCACAGAAACATGCTCATTAACAAGTGGCGCGAACAGAAAAGATTGACAAAACATACGATTTTCAAATCGTCACTCTATACAATCAGTGTAACGTCCTTCTTTCAGCAGGTTCTCTTATCTTTTTTCTTTGAAACAAACACGATAAGAGAGAACTTTTTGTCACCAATTTTCTACTGAATGAATTTCTCTTTTCCTGGAATGTAGTTTGCACAGTATCAACTCTATTACAGAAAGAGCTAGAACCAAGTTTGTGTCACTGTACACAAAAATATAGAGGTATATGTCAAATAATATGAATATCGGACGCAGAAGCGTAGAGAAAATAAAATTAAAATCAGCGATATATTTGGATAGAGCGTCGAATACTGTACAAGATAGACTAAGTACGTTCATATCATCTTGTTCTCTTTAGACATATCACAAAAAAATGACATTTTTCTTGTAATATAAATCTCTTAACTTTGCGACAATATCAGATAAAGAGCTACAATTTTGTGTGCCGGTGAGGCGTTCAATAGGGAATACTAGACAAAAAAAAATATATCAATATCAATCAAGAGAAACAAAGGTTGTTAGCCAAAAAAAGTTAAGATCTCAATCGCACCAAAAATTTACAATTCAATCAGATCATCGTTAGAACCGATGGTATATTGGTACATACAATAATGATAGAACAATCTTTTCTGATGTTTTTTTTTTACTTTCTATGTTCAACAGCACACAAATAGTCTTCAATATCAGTAGAAAAAGAGCATTGAATTTCTCGCAAAAAATACTTTTATGCCTAATTTATAAAAAAAATATGGAAAAAATTTAAAAACTTGCGTACCTACTGGTTAGGAATTTTCTACCTAACCTGCTGTTTGCTGTTATCAATTACAACGATGATATCTATATTGTGGTAGAATATTCACTGGATTGTAGCATTAGATGAACATCTTAAAATTGAACGTGTAAGTGGAATCAACATTATCAAAACTCTCTTTTTTAGATCGTGCTCGTCCTCAATTATTAGGCGAGAAATTGAATATCAAAATCATTCCAAACTTGGTCGTTCTCTCACTATCATGTGAAGTTCTCACCATTGCCGGTATCCAGGAAGTGCATTGACTATCTGATCAAGCTTTATGCCTGTAGTCTGAAGACAAAGCTTGCTATTGGACACGTTCACCACATGATGGCAAATTCGTGTGGGAAAATATAACTTGCACTAAATGTCATATATTTCCTTTACTCAGCATACGCCAAGGTTGTATACATGATAAATGTGATTTGAATTTGTGTAAAGCATGCATTTCAAAGATTAGTCACGAACATCCTCTCTTTGGATATCTCTTTTCATATAAGCAGTATTCATTGAAGCAACTATTTGCATCTGTACCATATTTATTGAGTCCGAATAATAGAGAACAAATCGACAAAAAGATACTTTGAAAAAATGGTGTCAAAAGTGTGGGTCTCTACTTTTCTAACGATTCGTGTCGAACTCGTCTCAATTTTACACCATCATTGATTCACTCATACAAAGAAGCACAGAGTAGTGATCATCCATTTCAATTGGTTTTCATGTCAAATGAAAATTAATGCAAAATGAGTCCACTTATCGATCAACGCTATCAATGTGTCACTTGTGAAAACTATGACCTCTGTTCCGCTCACAAAAGAAAAGAACTTGAACGTCCACTCAAACTATGTCCACAACCAAATAAAGATGAATAATAATAATATTGATCAAATGTATTTTTGTTCAAACACCTTTACAGAACACAATAACAGTATATGGAATATTATTTTCATAGTTAGTGTAATTTATCGGTTTCATTTGAGTGATTATGATGAATATTTTCTCCATCATTTCTTTCCAGTCTTTTTTTCACTAAAAACCATTCAACTCTTCACAATCTAAAACTTGAAATGTTTGTACAACATGAAATAAATGACATATGCATGTTAGATTGAAAGAGACGATAAGAAGTAAATGAGTCATTGTTCACAAGAACACACATGAGTTCTTCAGCAATTCTCTACTTTTATCTCATTCATAAATATTAATCTTTCAGGAAAAAAAAAGTAAAATATTTATTAGGTACAGCCATTATTCTTTCGAACTGGCTACACAACGAATATTGCACAGATTATGCTAGAAAATGATATCTGAACCACAAATCAAACATTAGAATAACGTGTTAAAACTGTTAAATATAGATAAACAGTTTAATTCAAGCATTGCTCTTTTTTTTTCTTAACACTCAACGAATTTGCTGATCTTCGATAATTAGTATGGGTATGAGTGTGGGATGAAATCTGGTATCCAGATTAAAAGCAGCTTAAAAAAAACATGTTCGCTAATGACTAATAGAATTAGTCAAATCTTGTTATCGACAATGGAATAATATTATATAGGTTCATATTCAGTTTTTGAAGAGAACTTCGACAAACGATTATCATGAGCTATCTCCATAACCTTAGATTGCAAGAATATCTTTTGAAGAATTTTGCATATACAAGTACGGAACAAATTAGTAAAGACGTTCTTCAAAATTTTTCTAAAACATTCACATTATCAATTATCTCTTATATGAAATGTCTTGCATGTTCACCACGAGTGATCACTTTGACGCAAATATCCTGTGACCACATCTAAATTGGTCAACAGCACAAAAAAGCGAAAAAAAAAGGAAACAAAAGTTCGATTCAAACATTCGAATCAACAATATCTGACACATGCCGGGCAGTCTGTCAGCTAATTTTGAACTACACCGATGAAGCTGACTAAACTAATATGACATGTTATCAAAGGTAATGTGGACTATTTTGAAGTATTATCTGTATTGATAATGACTAGTTTCTTGCTGAGTAAGCACTATCAATACTATTTAAGTGTTTCGACTAAAATGTAGAGCCAACTCGTTTAGGTTAGCCTTTATACGAACGAATATCTAGAATAACAATCAGTACGATGTTTATTTTTAATTAACAATTAACCGCTATGAAGAAGATAAATTAAAATAGATGTTTTAAAATTGTGTGGAGTCTTGTATGTAGATGAAAAGAAAACCTACAATTACATTCACACAATCTGTGACATCTATTTGAGGTTTTTTTCTGTGCTACAGAATTGGTAAGTGAAAACAAGGTAAATCGTCAATCGTGTTAATAGAATGAATCATATATTATGAAATTATACCGGTAGACATGAGAATTGAAAGCTAGTAACATTTGATTCATGTTTTAGCATGCACTCAACATTCGAACAGTGATCAGATGAAATTTCGATGATTATTTTCAGTTGTTCAGATGATATCTATTCTATATTTCAAACATTTCTTGGTTTGAACTAACGTATAAATAACATTCTTTTCAACAAACAATTGCATCTACTAATTGATTTTCTATACATAAATATTGATCCTGAAATAATGTATTCTTACTATAATTCATTAGAATTTCAACAAATAACATAAATACTCACGTCGCTAAATGGTACTACGAATAATAATGAAATTGTTCAATGTCTAAAATCATTGGTTTGTTTCCAAATTTAAAAAAATTAATCTATTCGATTAGATAAAGAATTTCAATTACATCGAGATCATTTTCAATCAATACGTAAACAATTAACTGATAGTGAAATTCAAAATGTTGGCAATGAATTAAAAATAGCATTTAATAAATTAGAAGATACATCAAGTACCATTCAACAAATACCTACACTTCTTTACATATGTGGTACACGTGTTGAATATAATCATGATCAAATGCGTTCATTTGATTTGGCTAAAGCTGTTAATTGTCAAAGACTTATGTACTATTAATCTACTTTGTATCATTATCGAAAAAAATTCTATCATCTTATATCTATATTCAAAGGATTTATTATTTCAAATTCGAATCTTTTAAAAATTTCTGATTATCTCAGTTATGATTTCGATGTAGTTTATCTTTTACTTTTCATTATTTTTTCAAAGACATTTTATCTATAGGAATAAACTGTGTATAACTGATTTGTATTATATTATCAATCGCTTGTTGATCTAGTTTTATTATCAATACGATCTATTTCATGTGATGAATCTTGGTCGGAAAATTATTTGTTTGAAACATTGAATATGATTAAATCGAATAAATAGTCAATAAAACAGCAATACTAGTATAATTTTTCGAGTAACAGAAAGAGAAATATTAAAAATTTTACTAGATCAATCTAATTTACATATGACTATTCCATAGAATGAAAATACAAATAATTCTTTTACACGAGCTCTAAATCATTTAATCAAAAATGATTGCATGGATATTGTTCTAATGATGTATTGACATAATCATTTTTTACGAGATTTTCTTCAAAAACAACAAACTATATTGAAAAAAAATACTACACGGAGAGACTTTCTATTTCAACTATTGATTAATAAAACAATTTCAAATTTTGACAAAAAAAAAAGATCAGATTATCAAAAACAGTTTTAAATGAACTAGATTGAAGATGGAAATGATTTCTTATCATATTTATGTTTAAAAATTCATGATTGTCGACATCGTTTTATTCACTATCTAATCAAAATTAGTTGTAATATGTAACGAAAAATTCTTTTTGATCAATCTTTTTTTCGATGAATTAGAATTAGAATGAAATCAAAAATTACAGACGAAGTTATTCGAATATGATATTATTTCTATTGATAAATTAACTGGAAAAATACAAATTTTATAAAAATTATTAACAAAATACTTTCAACATAACCAATTGAGAACAAGTAATCAGTTAATGGATATGGACATTTTCAGGATTTTTAGTACAATTATCATATAGAAGTTATACTAAGCATGCTTGATATTGTAGCAGAATATTTTATATTTTTATTCTTCTGTTCTTTTTTTTTCTCATTGAAGATATTGTTAATTTCAAATTAATCATATTCTGATGAACATATACTTACAGATAACAAATACCCACTTGCTACTCATGAGGGTAGGTAGACGGATGTGACTATAAATGAAAAGAAGATCTACAACCACACATCCAGCATCCAGGTTGACTCACATTTTGTTTAATAAATGTCAATGATATATATATATAATTAATGATAATATCTTATTTTAACTTATTCGAAAATTTGATTTGAATGATTAATCTAAATAAGAGGAAAAACACTAAAATCAATGAAATTAAGAAAGATGAAAACAACTTACATTCAATAACATTCACCTGTTGCGACTAGTTCAAAATGATATGACTATAACCATATTATTTTAATGAACGCCTAATCTATTTGAATGAAGCTTAATTTTTTTTTTCGTTTCGTCAGATTAGATTTGTTTCATTTGTTTTAGGATATAACAGCTTCGTTGTATGACAAAAAATGTTTTCGACTGTTGTTGGATAGTCACAAAAAGCCCAAGAGTATACTTTATCAGTGGAAGAGGATGAATGTTAGAAATAGATATAGTTTGCATCGGAAGAAACACCAAAGACTGAAAACGAAGCGAACTGAATTTGAATCAATATAATTCGATTCGATTCAGTCTCTGATAAACACTTTTGTTTCATTGAAATTGCAAATAATCATCTTAGAGTGTAAGTGGACGTCTTCTCTTTACTCTTATTCATAGCCACATCCATACTCTTCTACATTCTTAGTCTGTTCTTCACTTTTGTAGAAAGACTAAAACAGTCATTTAGTTCGGCTTCAACTATGGGAATATGATTGTACGAGAACTAAATGTTGAAGGTATCTGATTAGCTGAAGCTCCATCACAAAGGGTATGATTTTAGCTAGAGATAGATAGAGATAACATCTGGTTGGTCGAATTTCCAAGATGAAAAAAGATCTGATTGGATAAGAGCCAACGATTCATACTATCTGATGATATAAACGTTAGGCTGGAAAACACTAACTGGATAACAGTACATAGTCACAGCATGTGATGGCCTAAAATGGGTGTGGGTGTGGGTTAGGGAGAAGAGAGGATCAAAACTCATGCTTACTCCTATTCACATCTTTTCATATTGCACACACATATATGCTTACCCTTTTTCATAAAAAACTTTCTATAAGCAAAGCGAGCTAATGAAATAGTTATAACTCAGGAAGGATAGATCACGACCATGAACTATTTTAGGTTTTATTGCTTTATCAGATTCTATTGTTGGAGAAAATATCAGTTCGATCGGCTGCTTAAACTTTCAAATCATCTATCCTCAGTTTGAATTTCTCTTAGGATTAGGGATGTACCGAGACCGAGATTGAACCGAGACTCTCGGTCCGAGTCGTCTCGGTCTCGGTCAGTCTCGGTCTCGGTTGGTCTCGGTCTCGGTCAGTCTCGGTCTCGGTCGGTCTCGGTCTCGGTTAGTCTCAGTCTCGGTCGGTCTCGGTCTCGGTCAGTCTCGGTCGAAAAACTGAAAAAAATAATAGTTTCGACCGAGAGTGAATACAATGCTTACCTGCGACAAAGAACGAATTAGAAGTTAATTGTACTCGAGATCAATATTCATCAACACCGAGATCGAGGCTAACTGAGACCGAGACTCTCGCCCGAGAGTCTCGGTCTCGGTTGATCTCGGCCGAGACGACCGAGACCGAGACTAACCGAGACCGAGACTGGCCGAGACCGAGACTAGCCGAGTCCGAGACTGGCCGAGACCGAGACTAGCCGAGACCGAGACTGACCGAGCCCGAGAGACTCGGTCTCGGTACATCCCTACTTAGGATCAAAATGAGTTTTATTTTCGAATAATGCTCTTCACTTAAGAAATCAAATTGCTCTAGCACTGTTCTAATCCATCCTTAATTATGAATCAATACACCGAATGATTTCCGAACTAGAATGTGTGTAAACACGATGAAGTGATTCGTCCAATTTTCTAAGCACCTATAATTTATAGATCACTGAAGTATTCCATATGTTTTTAAACACAATTTGATGTGTTCCCATTTGTCCAACATGATCGATAACGCGTAATTTCAATATCTATCTCTAAGTCCTTTCAATAAGAAACGATATGATTAAGAAATAAAATGGCAAATAGAAGCTTAAACTCATGGCAACAGTTTCAATGGCTGTATTTTTTTTTTTTTAGGAGTCAGTATATCTTAGCAGTGACACAGTTGTCAACTTTTGTACCAACAAATTTTTCATGTCAAATGAAAGGCTTTGTTGAAATTCTGTTATTTTCTGGGATGTCTAAAGTGGATCGCTATTAAGAGTGGTACTTTAACTGTACTTGACTCCTAGCAAAGTACCTAAAGTGTCACTTACTCAAACTGCTAAGTTACTATTAAATTCTACGCAATTCTGCTACCAGCAACACAATGGCTTGTGAGTCGCCAAGTTACCAGGGGCTATTAGTTTATCAGTGATTTCATTCCTGATAAATTGTGACACACTAAGCAAACAGTAATGAATAAGTTACTCTATTTACTTTGTTCACCAGAAATTCAAATAACTATGCTACCCTTAGTCACTGTTCAGAGTATAGGTGAACATGGTGGAGAACCACTATCGAAGCAAATCGTGTCGAGCTCCATCCTTATAATACTTCCGAGTTGCGTAGGAGTTCTGTTACGCATTAGATGGCAAAAAAAAGCAATAAAAAAAAGAACAGAATGGTTTGATTTCGGCAGAAACGATCTCACCTTTTTGCAACATTTTTTTTCTTCCAACTTGCTCTGTTCTTTTACATACAAAGTGGAAAAAAAACCTTTCAAAATATTAGTGTTCTTTCTTTTCTGCGCTACTCCCGAAACTGCGTCAACTTTCACATACAAACATTTTTACATTTTATCGACGTAATAAAACGACAAATGGCGGAGAGATAGTAAGTTTTTGCAATGATTTTGAAAATATTCTTTGCTTTGCTTCAAAATTTGTAAACTTTTGAATGACTTCTCAGAAACCTTTTTATTTTCAACTTAGTTCGATCACGTCTATGGCTTTGCTTGAAGTTAACATCTTAACGTACCGATAAAAAAATGTCACCTTTGTTTGCTTAATTCCGGAGCCCTCCTTTCAAAGAAACCGTTTTTTTTTCGTTGAAAAGATCATTTTTCACTTTAAAATATCAAAATATAGTCTCAGTGGACTACTGTGGAAATTCATAAACATAATATTCATTCTTTACGGCATTTTGAGGTGTTGATGAGTGACCTCTACAGTTTCATAGATAAGACTCAATAAAGTAACTGACAGATATATTTGGCCTCTTAAATCTTAGAGTTCATAAGGTCCTATGAGCTGAAAATTGATGGGAACACGTTTCAGGATAAGGGCATGGGTGTGAAGAGGAAAACATCTAGATCCACAACCACAACGGATACGTATTAGCTGCTTAATAAAGCTAGATTTTTGACGTAATGAATAGAACATAGGCATTCCTTCAGTTGTAGACAAAATTTTAAGATGAGACTACGACATTTGATTTTTCTCGGAATATCCAGCCACAGATCGAATATATAATGAGACGCCTGTAACTGGAGAAAAAAGACCCATACATATGACTCATTCGAAGCTTTTAGTAGTCTTACCTTAGTGAAGAATACAACGGTGGCGGTCAACCGTTCATCGAATGGTATGGCATATCAGTTCATTTTGCCCCTATTATTGTTATAGTGGCGCATAGCTAGTAGCGGTAAATTGCGAGCTCAATTTTTCGGTTAGGAGTGACGTGTATTGTGAAAATAGCATTATTTTTGCAAACTTTTACTAAAGATTTTTGGGGTCAAGTGGTTCAAACTAATTAGGGACTGCTTGATATCTTTTAGTTTGATTTCTTTTGGGCCAACCTTTTAGAGACTTTGATCTCATAGCCTCGTACATCTTCGATCAAACTATTTGTAAAAGCACTATTTTCACAAAATAGACTGTGTTTGATCACAAAAATAACGTTTGCAAAGTTTTCTTTCTTGTCACGATCGATCACTGTAGCAGCACGTCAATACAGCGGGTTCCGCGAAGTTGTGCGCTAACGCAGCTAGGCATGCCATGGTGTTACAAAAAATGGAGCCAATGAGAACATAAAAAAAACCTACAGTAATGTCCCATGTATTAGTATCGTTGGCTTCTCTTAGCACAAAGGCGTGTGAATAATGGAAAAAACCGGCCATCGCTGTCGGTTTCGCACGTGTTTAGTGGCTAAATCAACCTGAATGGTGAGGCTTGAAAGTGCATCTCCGCAGTTTTAACAGTTTTTTTTTTCATTTTTCGATATATTGACGCTAGAAAATACTATCGATATGAATAGAACAGTCTTCATTCTAGCCTCCATGTGATTATTTTCTTAAAGGTCAAACCCAGCGTTGCGTACCCAGAAACTCTTCAGTTTTAAAAAGTAGTTGATCAATAGTGGAACGGAGAGTATTGATTGCCAGTGCTAGTTTTAATTTTCAATATATGTCCATATGATTCCTTTGAAAAGTCAAGCTACTATTCATCCTTTTTATAAGAAACGTAGATTCATTATGTTGAAAGACTTTGAAATTTTCAAAAATTCTATTTTATAGTAATAGGCGAAATTCTAATATTGATACACGATCTGGTAATTCAAATAATATTCAATCATTGAAGCCATGTAGAGATGGTGCAGACTGTTCTCTACATCATGATGGAGATATACAGCATAATGAATATTATTCACATCCTTGCCGATGGTTAGATCTATGCCGTAATATAAATGAAAATGAACATTTACGTCATTATACACATTCAATAGATGGTATTAAGGAATGTAGACGTGGAACTG